AATATAAATATATAAATAAATAATATATATTTTATAATTTACCTAATATTCCTAAACGATAATTAAGCGTAATGACAATAACATGACCAGCACTGGCCAATACAGATCCATCATAAATATTTCCTGAACCCCATTCGAAACTTTCACCGTGCACGTACACCATAACTGCATAGGGTGCTTCCAATCCAAGGGATCCTGTAAAACATTTTTCTTTTAAAATCACACAAGAAAACGAGAACAAGATGGGATGATAGGAAGATTATAGATAAATTATCACAAACGATGATGATAGTATGAGAGATGCATCAGCATTTTTTTTCAACGAATAAAATTCATTTATAAAATTATATCTCTTTTTTTTATATCTATCTCTAAGTTTCTTTTTTCTCTCTCTCTCTCTCTCTCTCTCTTATTCTCATGGGGACGAAGTATAAGTAACATTGAAACGCGTTAAACTATTTTCACTTGGAATATAATTTTGATTTCTCACGAAGGAAAATGGAATTCTATTATTCCCGACTATCGAGAAGATTTCTCATTGAATTTTATTGGAAATTGGAATTCTTAACAGGAATTTGAGATATCGATGTCGATTATCGATATATGATTTGATATGTTTGATGAATTGCTTAATATTACAATTTATTGTTTATCTATCTCCTTTTTCATCCTTTGAAAAAATATAATTTTTTTTATGACTTCGCGTCTATTTGTTTAAGAAGTATAAAAGTACAATGAGATATTTGAGCGATAATCAAAAATTTGGTTTTGATAAAAAAAAAAGATTAAAAATTAAAATTTATTTACCACTTCCGGGTATATACAAATTTAAAAAGAGACAATCCTCGCTTTGATTGGTCAAAAATGCGAGTAAACGTTTTAATTGTTGATATCTGCCGACAGGCATTTGCAATAAAGCGACAGTTTCGTTGCTGATGTTTGGATGATTTTGGGGACAAACGGAACCATAAGTTTCCGCCAATTTGACACCGTTCCAAGGTATTGGTGAAATTGGTGCACGAAATCTTAGATCTCCGATTGGTGGTGCGGCGTATGGAATACCACGAAACACCTCTACTGGATCCAAATGTTTGCTGTTAAATTCCTAAAAACATACAAAATAATATAATTAACATATATATTTAAATATAAGTTAAATCGTATGTGATATAGTAATAATAATTGTATTAGCAATTAACAAACGTGTGTAAATAATGTTGTATCATATTGTTACTATAATTGTATTTATATAATAATTAATATGAATATATTTTAATGAGGTAAATTAATAATTATAAATATATGAGTACATACGAAAAATATGAAAAATTATGAATTCAAAGATATTTAATGTGTGATTTGAATGGTTTAAAAAGGAATTCGAAGAATAAAAGAAGAGCCAGGGGAATTGTTACCAATGAACGCAAACAAAATAAAATAAAACATATAAATAAATAATGTAAATGAAATATATTGATTAATAAATTCCCCAGATTAATGTATTAAATGAATACATCAAATATTCCGTAGTAGGACCATTTTGGATTTGGTATTTTCTTCCAAATTGTGGGAAATTAAATTAGATATTTAATTTATTTAAATTAAAACATGAGAGAGAGAGAGAGAGAGAGAGAGAGAGAGAGAGAGAGAGATCATGAAATGTTTCATGATATCATCAGCAGGTATATAATAATCATTTATGCAGAAACGAACCACGTTCACATTTTATACGAGTAAATGTGTAAAGAGGTTGTGACCGAATAAAATCTAATGGTTAAAGCAAGTGCGGTTAGAAAGTCAAATGAAAATAATGTCAGTAGATATCTAATATATAATAAATTAGTTTGATAATGTCATCACATTTTTTTCTTTTAGTTAAGAACCATTCTTAATAACTATTCCTCTTTTCTACCCCCCCCCCCCC